CACTTTCTGTAGATATGTCCTATCTACGCTTCTTGACACGGTTAAATTCGTTGTTTTCATAGTCTGGTTATCTTATAAGGCGGTCCTTAGTTTGAGGGCATAAGCAACACTGCTTCATGACAGGTTGTCTTACATACGACCCCGTTTTCAGGCGTAGCTTGAAGTAATTACGCCTTCGAAAAGTGCCACGATAAGTTAGTCAGCCGGACATCCATTGAAGAATTCCACTCAAGACATGAAGGGAATAGCGAAAGTTCGAAACAAAGATTGAGTGTGGAAAAGAGGCATGCAAGAATTTGCCATAATGCACGTAATTTGGATACATTTCGTCAGTCATGTCTGTTTTTTGGACGTTGCGATATTAATCATTAGTGAACATGATTAGTTGACATTACTTAACGGCCACTTGCATTTCACCAGAAAGGCAACCCCCAAAGGACGAACATTAATGCCTGAACACATGGCTTGGCGTGGAGGCAAACATCTTGGAAGGTTGCCGTTAGAAATTCCTCAGTAACTAACGCACCACTAATCCGGTATACCAATACTTGGCTTGTAGCTGCTCTTTCCAATCCCTCTTACACTACGTACCCATGTTTATATGATGTTACTTATTCTGTCTTCCCTTTTGTTGGATATCGTCATTGCAACAAAGTGCCTCGAACAGCATATTTATCATGCCAATTATTAACACAACCGCTGGTGTGTTTACTGCAAGCAGTTGCGGGTACAATGATCTAGACAACTGTCTCGGGGAGAAAGGAACCAACACATACGTATATGCTACTTAAACGTGGTGAGTAGGGCCTCCGTTTAAGACGATTTCACTCACAATACGTGACGACGGTCATTCTACAACGTTGGTCTTCCTTTTTTGTTTGCTTATGCCACCTTTTTGCACAGGCACATCATTCGTCTGCTTTCCATATAATATTATCAATGTTTATATTCAGATTTTCGACGTACCAAGAATAATGTCGGGAATCTTGAAGCAATATTTCCCCGGAATGAATTTAAAATAAGCATAGACAGCAAAATTTATTGGAACCAATAAATTTCGCGACGTCATATCAACTGCAACCTGTCGTTCCATTACACAGACAACAAATGAGAAAGATACAGAGGTTTGAACTTCCACGGAGAAAATCAATTTAAAACAGCAAGGTCATCGTATACTTCGCGTAGATTTATCAATAAAATGGTAACTTGAAAACGTAGCATAGGAATGAAAACGGTGTAACGCCCCTTGACACGAACAGAATTGTTTGAATGTCGTGACACTTGTGGCGCGAACCTGGGATGGAGATAGTGTAACTGCGTACTGTTGAAGACGGCCGGTGTTCCTTCCTCTCGCTCTCGCCGACACCCCCCTCCCGCAACACAATCTCGTTCTCGTCTCTCTTCCGCTCAACATCGGCCCCCCACTTCGGCCCCTCCCTGCAGTTGCCCACAGCGCTGCATCCTCACCGGCTGTTTAGCTAGTATGTCAGTGTCATCTATCCAACCAGACAGGTCACTTATTTGCTGTTCCTCGTTGCACGTGTACATTAACATTTGTTATATAAATTCTCCATACAATGTTGTTCTATTACACTATATCCATACTCGACATACTCTCTTCTTCTGCGTGTGAACGGGTTTCGAGAGATGTTAACAGTTCTGTTCAGATCTACCTCCGCCAGGATCTCTTCTCGGCGTTTCCTTACTCTGGTGTGTGCTACCCTTGACGTTCTCGGCCGCTACAGCGGGAGATTAATACGCCGAGGCATTGACCAACTCGAAAGGGCCCAGATTTACCGGGGCAAGCCGAGTTAGACCACGTCGTCTAACTGTTTACATAGGCCGGGTTTCTCTCGCCGTATGTAGGCTATCTCCAAGTAGCGCAGCAACCGAGTTGTTCGTGCTCGAACTAATACTCGAAAAGATGTTTTGGGGTCAACCGAATGACCGCTCTCAAGCAGGTTTTTTGTGATAGAGGACCATGGAATTTTATTCTCCTGCTTTAGAAGCCTCTTAGGCAGGTGCTCAACTGACCTGGCTGCCAATTGCCTTTGCGTTCGCTCAATGTACTTGCCCCCACAAGTGAATGAGAATCCATAAATACAATTTGTCGTGGCGTGCAATGGCATAGCATCCTTTACCCGCGGAACTTGGATAGCTTTATTGGGGCTGTGGAATATGAATTCAGCTGAGTTTTATGTTCTTCCACTGGCGCATCGCACTCGCCGCTTGACAGTATGTGAAATGTTGTCATCCTTAAAGGGTAAGGATATTGCAACGGGCTTTTTCGGAACTGATTGCTCCGTCGATATGGGCCGTAATGTGCTGCTGTACTTTTCGATTAACCGTGTTGTATATCCAAATTTAAGCAGGGCTGTTTTGAGGCAACAAATTTCTGCATCCAGCATTTCAATGAAGCAAATGTTTCTTACTCCTTGGAATAGAATGTAAACCAAATTTCGTTTTCGTTGTATCGGCACAAATCTCCAGAAGTGTAGGTATTGTCTTTCCAAGTACCCTTGTGGAAAGCCGATCGCCCTATTGAACCATCTTCCTGTCTAGTCATGAGGACATCCAGGAAAGAAAACTTGTTACACAGCTCCTTTTCAATTGTGAATTTAATCTAAGGATAGAGACTATTCAGGACAATAAGTACGTCTTCGGCGTCCTCGTTATTATCAACAATAGCAAAAATGTCGTCTACATATTTTTGGTACAGTGTTTTATATTCAAGTTAGCTGACGAATTTTCTTCTAAGTGACCTATTAAAACATCGGCAGGGGTTGTATCAAGTGAATTTCCCATTGCCATTCCATCAGTTTGTCTGTATAGCTGTCCACTGAACAGAAACTGAACGTTTGTCGTGCAAAGTTTCAACAGGTCACGTAATATTTCGAGTGACAGATGGCTTTCAGACGCACTGGCACATATGACATCGATCACGTCAGCAAGTGATACGTTTGGGAATAGTGCTACAACGTCCAAGGATAAAATGCTTTTGTTGGAAATGTTCTGATGCCTTATTTCTTCAATAAAGTGAAAACTGTCTTTTATTGTGTAAGTCGAAAATAGGTGTCGTATCGGTACTGATTACTTGACACACCACTGTGCTAGTCTGTATTGGGGTGAATAAGACAGAGACAGAATCGGTCGCTGAGGTATGTCCTTTTTAATGCGTTTTTGGCAATCCATATAATCTGCGAAATTATGTACCCCTCGGTTTCAATGATTGAGCGGTTTTATTATCAATCAGATTTTTGTACAACAATTGTATAATCATTTTCCAAGCGTATTCTTTCATTGATTTGGTATCATCTTTCACTGGCGTTTCCCGGCGAAATTTAATAGGATCATCCAAAATGGACTCCATTTTGGTTACGTAGCCTCTCCTGTTAAGAATGATATCTACCTAGCCTTTGTCAGGTTTAGAAGGTATTATTTGCTTATGGCGCTTCAATGCAGCCAGAGCAGCCATGTCTTCTTTAGTTATCGGTGTTGGTTGCGTTAGTGGAACTTTACGATAATGATGACAAATGTTCACTAGTTTTGCTTTGCGCCAACCTACGTCATCAGCGGATCTGGGTATTAGGTCGGGAGAAACCCGACCTATATAAACAGTTAGACAACGTGGTCTACCCCAGCTTGCCCTGGTAAATCTGAGCCCTTCCAATTTGCCCAATCTCTCGGCGTGTTAACCTTCCGTCTTCGTTCCTATGCTGCGTTTTCAGGTTACCATTTTATTGATAAATCTACGCGAAGTATACGATGACCTTGTTGTTTTATATTGATTTTCTCCGTGGAAGTTCAAACCTCTGTATCTTTCTCACTTGGTCTGTGTTATGCAACGACAGGTTGCAGTTGATATGACGTTGCGAAATTTATTGATTCCAATAAGTTCTGCTGTATATGCTTATTAAAGATGTCGGGAGAACAACCAAGCTGCCTCAGTCCAGCTCATAACCATTAGGGTCTTTTGGTTATGGGTTCCGGTACGTAGGGAGTAGATCATTGCCTTGGTATCTAGAACAATGGGGCTCGAAACACGGCTGCGAAAGGTTTTTTGGAGTTGTCTACGATATGGAGTGCAAGTAAAAATTATATTTATCCGAAAGACAGGAGGATAATATCTCCTCTTTTGTTGACCATTGACTGCTTATAACATTTCAATCCAAAATGATGCGTTCTTCTTTGTATGACCCATCAGAATCTCCGGTTTAAAAACACTTATTTTGACCACAAGACAGCAAAGTAATTAGGTGTCCCCCCTCTGTCTCAGTCAATGGCTCACTGATACACTACGCGAACACCAATTGTCTTGATCGTGAATACAAATGCTGCTTGTACAGCTTTCGGGGATGTTGAGGGATGTGTAATCGGGTTAAAAGGTATCGATACCTATGTCCGCAGTCTGAAAATCGTCTTCAGTTGCCTGAGGAGATCTGTGGTGCTCGATCGCGTCAATTTCCAACAGAAGCTACGACAGATTACTCTGTTTTTGTAAATCATGACCCGTGGAACAGATAAGATCCAAACTACGGAATGAAGTGCCCTCGATAAATATGTGTATGTTGTCCGCTAGCCAAACCTAATTTGCCCTACTAGCAAGCTGCAAATCACTGAAAAAATTGAGACCGTGTTTGAGTTGCCTCATTTACTGATGATTTAACGATTCAAAATATCGATGTTTCAGGCGTATTTTCGCACAAACAAGACACTGCTTTCACGATTTATTTAGAAGGTGACTTTGGCCCTTCCGCCTGGAGGCCTTAGAGACCTGTGAACGTACTCAAGAAACTCCTCCAAAATAAGTCATTACCAATAGGAAATTGAACGGATTTTATTTTTGCTGAACACTCACCCATTCCTATTACCCTAACTTTTACCATCTAAGAATTACAAGTGTGACCAGCGCCTGCGTTCCTATTGGTTTGACTGTTGCGTTCGCCTTGTTTCGACGTCCGCATTGCACGTGACGCCTTTCGTGCGAATCCGCATTCAGAATGCCAAAGAATAAGGGTAAGCCCACCTCAACTTACAGGCATTGGTGCAGGAAAGGGAGGAAAAAACCGCCGGCGGGGCAAGAATGAAAACGAGGGGCAGAAGCGTGACTTGATTTACAAAGAAGATGGACAAGGTACGCTTTACCTTCCTGAGGCAAATAATCACTTGCCCCGGTTTACTTGATGCCTATATTGAGAGTTTATTTGATGCCTTTTTAACACGCCTTTTTCCAAATGCTTTGAATTGCCTTTTTGTCGATAGATCCGATGTTCCACTACGAAGTCGTAAGGAGGATTTTGCATATACCTTTAATTACGAACTACTGCCTGTAGATGAGTTTTTGAGGTTGTTGTTCCTTCTTACTTTTCCATTCGCAAACCATGGAAGTATAAGGAACTGGGGTTCCCCATGTGTGATCTTCCCTTCTCACCTTACTCCTGATTTTTCCGTAATTCCGTTTTCATTCACACATAGTCGGACTTCTGCGATACTAGAGGCTTATGTTCTATGTTTGTTTCTTCTGTTTGTCCAAACGGAGGTCATTTTTGATTTGTCTTTTGCCAAACGGCCGCCATACCCCGGGCAAGCAGACCGTTCTGCTTGTAAAATGCAGCGCCATAACAGTCGGAATTTCGTTCATATCCCAGCGGTTTAGGCGCTCTGCTGCATTTCGAGGATAAAACCAGGTTAGTGCAGATGACGCATGTGGCCGCTTGATGAAGATTCAGCTGCTCATCTACGCTCCCCTTGGAAATATCGCGTAGTTAGGCATTGTGTTATAAGCCGGCGCATCACCCTCAGGTGGTGTGAGTAGAGAGAGCGTCCTTGATGCTCTAGTTAGGAATGGCTCTCGCGGGGCATACGTTTTAAGGGGTTTATTATAAATTTTTTCAAGGTTTTAGTCTTTTCCTCGGTCGACTATGCTTGCTGAGTTGGGAATCATATTTTTCGAACTGTACCTTTGACTTCTTGCTGCCGGTGAGTGCTGTGCCTCAAGACAACTTTTCGTAGTTTTTGAAGACATCGAGCTCATTGTCTGTTTTTTTTTTATAAAACCAGAGGTCGAGTATGGTGTAGTCGAGGTTATGTTTTCACGGGGTCTACACAAAACTTTGGAAGATTGGTTTTCGGACAGATATATGCATAAGCACGTTCGGAAGTGGTAGCTTGCTATGTGTTTCTGTCGTAAAGATAATTGTGCTTTTTGGTGCAAGCCACCCATCATGACAAGCGTACGTTGTGATGGTGACGTAGGCAACGCATTTGTTCCAGCTAATATGGACTTCAGAGAATCCTTAGCACGTCCTATTTCAATTATAAACACAGCCAAATTTACGGAGGATGACGTGCAATGGTTGGCCTTTTTTGTGCACTTCTTTCCCCGGGGATCCCCGCCTAGTCTTTCCGATAACTGCCTACCGAGAGCTTTCAGGCGTTATGTCTCTGACCGCAGTTTTCTCAGTGACTCAGCCAGCCCCTGCTTCACTCCGACCATAACGTTGCTACTTAGATATCACTCATCGTATGTTAAACCATTGTGGAACCGACTGATTCGTCGACTTCCTCACTCAATTTAAAACTCTTGTTCCACTTGCTGTCTATTTTCTAATTTCCTTGTCTTTTGGCAGTGTAGGCTTTGCTTATCTATTCCAAAATACAGCAAATCACCAGTAGTCGAGAACGATTCAGGACAGAAAATTTAGTGTAACACGTAAGCTGACTACTGTCAGCAGAGGGGGGGGGGGCTTCTGTGGTTATACACATGCGTCCGAGTGTCGTGCTTAGTGCGCAGTATGGTGGTCGTTGACGTATGTTGCCCCTTGGCAAATTGCCAGACCAACCAACTCTGTATAGGGCTAGCCCGTGCAACTGTCATAATTGCAGTTTGCTCGCAAGTCCGTTAAGTTGGCTCGCCACCTCGGGTTTGATTCCTTGTGAGCTCACTGGCGACGTCAGCTAACTGAGATGGATTGCCAACCAACTTGGTCGACTTATGACGTGAGGCCATCAACTCTCTGACGACCGCGATATATTTCTTCCAACTTTATTACCAAGTTTACGTTTTTTGGTTCCTAAAAATTCTTAAATCGCGACTTACTAACCCGTTTAACTTTGCGTCCGCAGTTTTGTCAGACACCACTTAATTTTATCGGACGAATACTCTTGCGGAAAGCCAACCATGAGAGCCACTTTCCCCGCCAATTTATTCTCCCCACGGTTCGTATAAAATTAATTGCGAAGAACTTGCACGTGACTTCCCCAAACACATGGTCATTGAGTGCAGAACTAATCTTCCCGAGGGTTTTAATTTGCGACACTTTGGACTTTTGTCTCCTCCGGGGTGGGGGGTGCGTCGATATTGTGTTTGTGTGGCAACAAAGATTAACGCAAGGTAAGTTCCGAGATAACCGACCTTTTAGTCATTCAGGGAGAGGGGAACAAGAGTTTTGCAGGTGACGGATAGAGGGACGATTTAACAGCGGTTTGGCCGAAGGAGCGCCTCCCAGTTGCGCCGATATGTTAGAAGGCCTTAAACTATTGTTTGAGTGCGCTACCCTTCGTCTTTTACGGGGCGCCTGTACACGAGCTTTTACCGCTTCGGGCAAAGTAGCAGTTCACCTACTCGCATTTACGAGCCATTTAAGACGGCAGTCATCCGTGACTGCTAGTCTCACCCTGTCAATTATTTTTACGTCCTTGAGCATTCGTGCAACCCGCTCTGCAGTTCAGATCATGGTTCTGCAACTTATTCAGATTTTTTTCACAGTGCACACGTTGCCTCCACCCACAATGATACCTAGCTTTTAGTTAACACGTTCCCCGTATTCTAAGGGATATTGTACACCTATGACTAAATAGGTCTTGTTCAATACACAATGTGCAGAACGAACCAAGGTCCGTTCGTTATTACTGCCATCCACATCTCGTCTCCTTGTTCTTTACAGAGTACGCAAAAGTCGAACGACTTCTGGGCAACGGACGCTTAGAGGCCTACTGTTTCGATGGTGTCAAACGGTTGTGCCACATTCGTGGAAAGATGCGGAAGAAGGTAAAATTCACCTTTTAAAGGCGTTCTGGACTTTTCATTGAGTAGAAAACCCAGTGGTCGACACATGTTGCTCTAGAATTGATGCATTTATGTCGCCAAAGAAAAGACTTGTAATTATGTAATTATGTGCATACTCAGTTGTCCGGATCTTATATCTTCCCCACAAACACTTATAGTCAAAAGGCACCACACACTGGATCTCCATTGCTCGGACTGGCTTCCGTTGGAGTCATGCTGAAGGCCAGCGTAATCATTTAATCACGCATACAACGTCAGAATTCCTTCCTTGCGAGGCGTATTGAGACGGAAACAACGATTCTTTCCAATGGTAACTTAGTATGTTCGGCCTCGGCCGAGCGGTACATGTCGATGGAAATCCGTTCAGTTCTGCTAGATGCTTCGAGCACAAAAAAGCAATTAGACTGTTCGTGTTTAAATGTGTCGTGAAACCAGACCCGGTGAAATTCCTTCCCCGGGGTCATATTCTCGGTTGTGCCGAGGTTCACACTTCTTTTGTCGAAAACCCCCTAGACACTCCTCGCCCCTGTGGGCCGTAATGTTTTAGTTCATAATCACAGCGTTGGGCTACTTGTGTTTACAGAATCTTTCCCTCAAAGCGTCACGCCTATCCCACTTTAGTTTTCCCAGACGTGTATTACTGGTTTTCTCTCCCCTATGTCATCTTAGGTTTGGATCAACAGTGGCGACATTATCCTCGTTGGCCTGCGTGATTTCCAGGACAGCAAAGCTGACGTCATCCTGAAGTACTTAAACGACGAGGCACGTGCCCTCAAATCTCTGGGTAGGTGGTAAACAATTTTTACCTCATTTTACTCTTTAGTCATTTGTGTACATATTTTTCATTAGAAGTGGACTTTTCATTCGATAACCTGCCCTCGCTCCATTCACTCTGTTGCACTGGCTTTCGCTGTAGGCGAGATTCCTGACACTGTGAACTTGGAGGAGAACAATGACATCGCTTTTGACGCCAACGCGGCAATGCCTGAATTCGATACGGAGGACAGGGACTCCGACATGCCTGGTTCCTCAGATTCCTCGTCCTCCGAAGAGGAATCTGAAGACGAGGAAGATGAGGAGGACGAAGAGGAACAGTTGGGCTTGAAGAATGCTTCCCGCTACAAGGGTGAATTCAGCGGCGACGTCAATCACTGGAAGGGCAAGAAACAGAAGCCTCGAAAATAAACTCCTGTGAGTGTAATGGACGCGCGTCCTGTTTTGTCGCTTTAGAATTTAGCACAGTCGAATATCCTCAGACGTGGAACGCGTAGACACCAGTCGACCTGCCACTAATCAGACACTAATTCGGAGACCCCCTTAACTTTAACCTAGCTGCCTTAGCTCTCCCACATCACCGCCCAGTGACGGGTTACGGGGGTCGAACAGATATCGAAGACTGGATTGACTGTTTCTGGCTTATTTGTAGTCATCAGCAGGCCAGGGCAGCTCAGGGTGGACCGACGAACGCCATTGTGATCACAGCAAAACGGTCACGAACCCTAGCATGCTGTTAGATCGTTTGGTCCAGCAATCACTGGCCATGAAGTTCGGATTTAGAGGTGGCTAGCTGGTAATGGCGAATATACTGGAAGGAGTCGTCTCAATTTCCCTTGTTTTTGACCTCCTCGGTCACATTTCTTGGCCGTAGGTTCGACTTCCAGGGCGTCATCCTGGAATTCCATCACGGAACCTAGTCTCAAATCAACTTAGTATTCCCATCGTTGCCCCAGAGCTTGGTCCCCTCCCACGGCATTGGACATTGAGTCCACGAATCCCGGACTCAGACCCCGTTTTTACGACTGGGGTTTTGGGTGTACTGTGCTAATGGGGATACAAGCTAGAGATGGCAATTGAAGCCTCACATACCCGTCTGTCTGTAAACCTTGAATTTCACCGGAATTGGCAAGTCGGAGTATTGGATTTAGCGTATATGGGATTAAAAGAACCATGTAGCATTGCCGCAGTTTGATGGCTTAAGTGACACCATCACCTTTTGGGATTTCCCAGTGAAGACCTGCGACATGCATCTTACTCAGACTATTTTCTCTTTTATCTCTCCTTTCAGGCTTCAATACCCCCGTCTGCTCATTCGCTCATCAGCGTGCACTTGCTTTGCAGGCGATAGAGCGTTTGCCATGATATGTCTACCCACTCCGCCAACTCAGAGATGTCCGGTCCACTTTTTGTCCAGCTCTGTCCTTTGTAATCTTCCTGAGCGCGACCCACATGCCCTCTTTCATTTTCTGTGTCTTTCGTGCCGCATATGCTGCATGATTCCCTTCCTCACTTCATCCCCTCTCAGTTCGACAATTGCGCTGGTCTTACCTCAGCGGGATCGGTCGGTTTTCTACCGTCTTACTTTCCACTGCCGCACGTGTGGTGGGTGGGTATTGTCTGTACCTGCGCGAAATCTGATTAATTGCAATGCGTTTCCACCTGGACTTGTATGGACTGGTTGAATGCATAAGCCGGCAGAGTGCGTATTAAGAGTATGTTTGACTCGGGGTTCTTAGCAGCAACGGTCGTGATCAGACGAGCTGTGGTCGTTTTTGATAAAACGAGAGTACCATAACGTCGGAGTTTGCCCGTCGTTTAACGTTCCTGTATAGCTGTCTGATTGGAGCCGAGCGAAACCCGCTTGATCGCATTGAGACGGTAGTTAGTAAACAAGACCTCAGACACGTCGGAAATTGGTGTGTAGTGCGGATGTCACTCCCGTGCGATGCACTCTGGGAATCCGGCGATTCCGGATTTTGCTTGTCTCGAGCTGTTGGAAGTCCTCCCCCTGACCCGACGAGTATTTTGAGCTGCTGTAAGTGTTGTGGATCTTGCCACTCACCGTCACGCCATTCAGGTGTCCCATAGACCTCATGCATCAGCTGTCGTCTCGTAATCCGCAGAGGACGTTGATGAAATTGTAATCGTGGGGTAGCAAAGCACCACTTATTGGCATGGGTATAATTTTCCAGGAGTTAGCCGTTTACCTAGAGTGCGTGTGATGATATTGGGACTGGTAACCTAGGAGCTGACTGTCTCCCGGTTACTCTTCTGTCGTTGGGAAACAACGTCAATCCGGGAAAGGCACGCGGACACGAGCTCCACCACCCGGTATGCCGTGCGCCACAAGCTGCTAACTCAAATACCCCTTTATCTGGACTAACATCCGTTCGATATCACGGCGCCTACATGGAACGAGCAGTCAGTCGGAGCAGACGAAGTGTTTATTCGAGTTATAAGAGTTAGTGGCAGGGTGAAATCTGGAAGAGAGGGGTAGTTCTTTTTCACAGAGGCAAAGAATTATAATACCGGGTAGGAGGAGGAGTGGTTCGTGTGAGCGTGAGGGTATATTAGCGTACCTAGATAAGGAAAGCATAAGTGGTTTGTGATCAATTGCGCATCCTCCTACGGCTGGATGCTGCCGTTGCTAATTCCACTAACAACACTAGTGGCAAAAATACAGATGCTACCATCACTACGGGTAGCAGCACTTTCTCAACGTTGCCGGTAATGCAGTCGCTAATTAGGGCAGAATTGACACTGCCACCAATTGTGCGGTGGCTGCCATCATTGCCACCAATGTTTCTGTTGGATTGGCGCAGAATGGGCTTCAGCTTCATCCGTGTACTTTAGAGGCATACAACCCGTCTCAGAATCAGATTGCTCGACGCAAAGACCGTTGACCTGTACACATTCTTCCGGTTAGATGGAGGTTATTATACTACGGCAGAATTCTCCACCTGAAGCTGATGCATGCTCTTAAGGCGATTTCAGCTGCTGATTGAGTTCAGAATTGCTAGGATTTGATGAGAGGCTTAAAATGTTCATAGTCACGTGGCGATAGGCCTGGTGAAAATGATGGAGGCGGTTCCATAGCCCAGTTAATTCACCTGGACCGACTCCTGTGAAGTGTACGGTTGGACGTCGTTATGACGACTATGACCTTTTAATTAACTAGCCCTAAGTGGTTATCACGCAAATTTTGATAAATTTCATCGAAACCAGTGTGGTTGCGTTTGGGTCTAGGTCGGATTGGACGTTACCGGCGTCAGATTACCGAGCAGTTGCGGGGACATTTTTGCAACAAATTCGGTTTGATGAAATTTGTTTGGCGATTACCGTCATCAACCATTGTGATTTCCGGTCATTCTAGTGAATGGTCGTGATTTCGTCGTTTGTTACGATCCGTGAAATGGATGTGCGCCGAGCACACCTCCTACCAACGAGTTTTTTGCATTTAGTCTGGTAGAAGGACGTTCCCGACCATGGTAATCTTTGGCGTCCAGATTTGCATTGTGGAACTTTCTAAATCGCTGTTAAACTCTGAGCCCGATCACAGTCCCTTTTTTCGGATTCTTCGTTAATATTTCATGTTGTTTGCTCTGTCCTCCGTCCAATCATGCAGCGCATGGCAGTTCAACCGTCGTGACCGGCGATGTCCACGTGTGCTTCACAGCAGGGTTAACGTGGGCACGGTGACTTGACTGTGAGATAATTGACTTGCACTGCATCTATCGCACATTTCTCCTTCCCCCACCTGCGTCCGGTATCAAGACATAGACAAGAATACCGGAGATGGGAGAGGGCGGTGTCTGGCGCGGCCGGAGTCTCCCCTAGGCATGCCCACACACTCGGGTCAGATCCCACTAGGCCAGAGTGCCACATTAAGAAGGAGCCATTGCAGCCTGACTCATAGACTACCAGTCGGCCACTCCGCACAATCACACTGGGCTGACCGCAAGGTCCAAATTACTCCCTCAGTTGGCAACCTTCCAAGCCACGGTTTTTAGCGCACCGTGATAGCTTCAAGCGCGTCAGATTGTTGTGAGAAAAATGTATTGATTCGTTGGCCTCACTCTCTATTCCCGTTCCCAGACTCCAAGCACTGTTCGAGCCGGCCATATGTCTGGTGCGGGGAATGGGCGCAGTGGCTGACAAATCTTATGACCCTGTCTGCGCGCGCCACATGTACGACCTGGCCCCTCAAACACAACCACCAGGATTTCATACAACAGGGGGGTTGAGCGGCATACATCTTACATGCGTGAGAGTACCGTAGGTCACGTTAAGGCGGCGCCGCTTCGCCTAGCTCTCGACCCACCAGTCCGCCACTCCACGCATGCACACACACACAACTAGGCAGACTGAGTGAACTGAATTCGCAAACGACCGACCAGGCCGATGTGTGGGGTAAATGTGCGGCCCCAGTGAGGACAGGTTGGGACCTAGTCTGCATTCGCTGGAGACTGGGTAGTGATGGTGAATGTGCTGGTGTGTGGTGGTGGCCCGCACCTCTCCCGATCCCAGTGATGAGGATCAGGACTGCACCTGCCCTCACTGCGACCGTACCTTCACATCACGCATCGGCCTGGTCGGTCACTTGCGAATCCATCGCACAGAGACTGGCGAACTAGTGCCTGGAGCACCAACCTACACCCACCGCACTCGCCTCCACTGCCCACAATGCCCTCGCACCTTCACGCATCGCATGGGTCTATTCGGCCACATGCGCATCCACGAGAGCGGAATTGACCGCAGCCTTGACACACCCACCCCGCCGAGCCCCACTCCCAATGCACCACCTCGTGCACCCACTAACCACTCCCCAGCCGACATCGACGCCACCGACCTTACCACCCCTCACTCCTCCCCTTCGTCCTCCTCTTCCTCCTTCACTGCCACAACGACGGCCGCTTCGGCGTCTGTCTCCCACGACCTCACCACAGCCGAACCTGACACAATTACAGGCACAAGCCCTGCAACCTCCATCATCAGACGTGAGGGCCAGGACTACATCTGCCCTCACTGCGATCGCACCTTCACTTCACGCATCGGCCTGGTCGGTCACTTGCGAATCCATCGCACAGAGACCGGTGAACCAGTGCCTGGAGCACCAACCTACACTCACCGCACTCGCCTCCACTGCCCACACTGCCCTCGCACCTTCACGCATCGCATGGGTCTATTCGGCCACATGCGCATCCACGAGAGCGGAATTGACCTCAATTCCGATACAGCCACGACATCCAACACGCCCAGACCCATCCTCGCTCCACCGTCACACGCGCCGACCACCGCCACCAACACCACTGTTTCCTCTACAGCTGACACCGACACCGCCGACCTCTCATGCCCACATTGTCCACGCACATTCACCTCACGCATCGGCCTGGTCGGTCACTTGCGAATGCATCGCACAGAGACTGGCGAACCAGTGCCTGGAGCACCAACCTACACCCATCGCACTCGCCTCCACTGCCCACACTGCCCTCGCACCTTCACGCATCGCATGGGTCTATTCAGCCACATGCGCATCCACGACGACCTGCGGTAGACAACCGCCGGTCACACCACACATTCCCTCACTCCCTACCTCATAACATCATCACCCCAACAGATATCAACCGCCACACACCTCATGCACTCAACTGCCGCCTCCCACGCAAGTGGGAAGTGTGCATCTCGACTCGGTCCCCATGCGGCTTCGGCTGCACGGGTGACTTGTGTCCGAGACTATCCCGACACGCCAAGCGTCGTGGATAGGAAGGTTGCTGATTGACGCCCGCTCTCGGTTCACGTAGTTCGTCACGTTGTGTGTGTGTTGTGTGTAGTGGCGGACTGGTGGGCTGGGGACGGGCTGAATGAGCACCTTCCACGGCACTCTCACGCAAGTGAGAGACACGCCGTTCAACCCCCGTTGTGTGAAATCCTGGTGTTTGTGTGTGTATGGGGGGCCAGGTCGTACTGTGGCGCGCGCAGTCATGGTCCGTCGATCATGACAGCCACCGCGACCACTCCCCACTCCAGTCTGCTGACCGGCTCGGATAGCGGCTGGGGTGTGGGAGTGGGAAGGGAGAGTGAGGTCGACGACTCAGCGCACTTTCTCCTCACTATAAACAATCTGACGCGTTTGAAGCTATCACGGTGCACTAAAAGCCGTGGCTTGGAAGGTTGCCAACTGACGGGGTAACTTGGACCTCCTCTTTCACGGGAGGCGGTCTGAGATTCAGGCTGCAATGGCTCCTTTTTAATGTGGCCTTTATGGCACTCTCACCACAGTGTGGGATCCGAGCCAGGCGTTGGCGGCACTCCCAGGTGCGGCTTCGGCCGTGCCAGCTTCCAAATCTCTGTTGTGTTGGTTGAAATCCTGGTTATTGTTGTGTGGACCAGGGGGTGTGGTAGAACGCCAAGGTGAGGATCCGTCCGAGCCATCCACCTGCGGCCTCCCTCGTCTCCGGTCTTCTTGACTCTGTCTTGACACCGGGCCCAGGCGGGGGAGTAGGAGAGAGTGTAGGTAGATGCTACGCAAGTCTACTGGCACTATAAACCCCTGCGTAAGTCACCGTCCCTGCTCCCACCGCTGTTGCAGCTGTGGGGCACACGGTGGACATCGTCGAAATCGACGGTCGAACTGTCGGGTGGTAGTGGGGGGGGGGGGCATCAGCAGCGTCTCGGCCGACGTTGGGGATGGCGGAGATGATTGTGTTCGTTGATGCCGCGGTACTTGCGGCTGACATAATGGTGGTTCTGGTGGCCGACGGCGGTGCGACACGGGGGTCCAGAGCAAAGGTAGTGGGGGTGGACGCTGTTGTGGTGGACCTGGAGGCGGTCGTTGAGGCAGTAGTTGCTGTCGTCAGACGGTTGACGCATTGGGTCCGAAGGTGACCTACGAGGCCGATCCGCGTGCGGAATGTCCGTTGGCAGCGAGGACGTATTGGGTTAGGTTGAGTGGCGATGTTTCGAACCAAAGGCATCTGAGACTTGCAAACTTCTCTTTTGACTTTGACGGCGGCGACCCGGTGTGTGCTTCGTGGATGGCTGCGCTAGCCTTCTCTTCTCCAGACCGGTCTGCTCTGGACGAGGACCTCTCAGGTCTCCAGGTTGATATGCAGTCTCTTCCGTCAGTTCTTTAAAGTGTTTTTGTAGTGCCGTTTTTGCCCTCCCGATTGGCGGACACCCCTGGCGACATCTCCGCAGAAGAATTGTCTTGGTAGGCGAGCGTCGTTCATTCTCACTAAGTGGCCGTTCCATCTCAGTTTTAGTTGCCGCATCATGACGTGGATGCTGAGAATTCCGGTCCGTTCTAGGACAGCCATGGGCGGGATCCTGTCCTGCCATCTCAGTCTCAGTATTCCGCAGAGGCAGCTAAGATGGAAGTGGCCGAGATTCCTGGCATGGCTAGAGTAGACGACGCAGTACGTACTTCCTTTTACCTTTCCAGTGGCATGCTCGAGCGACGGGAGAGGTTCAGGTCGACTGCAGGTGCTCATGGACTCAATGGCGAATGTCGCACACATTTCCAATCTACGTATGCCATACATCGGCTTGCCTCTCAACTCGTGTGAACCTAACTTTACTCGAATCTCGCAGTTCGGGTAGTTCCCACACTGCTACATCACGAAGGAACCATCGTGGCCTTTTCCTTAGTTAAAAGGAGCGAGTTACGCCGCCAACTGTTCACACGACGAACCACAGATCTCGGCGCGTCATGAAAACTCAAAAACAGGCGGAATTTAAGGATCTGAGAAATACGAATGGCTCACCGGATAAGGGTAATTGTGTGTCTGACTTTTCGGAGGGTTTGGCCAGCTCTCCATTGCCAAAGCGCTTAATGCGAAACAGCGATTAAAATTTTAAATAAACGGCCGAATTAGTTGGCCTTGGGCTGGTGGATTTTCTTCCTCCTTCACTGCCTTGGATTTCTGGTCTTCGTTTGTGAATGTTGGCGACCTCTTGCGTTGCGTGTCGTCACCTCAATGGGGGTCAGTCACACCTGTGCTCCCCTTTTGGGTGAATTGGTCGACGAGCCGTGTTTGCTCGGCATTTTCAGCTTCGTTTGACCGTCTTACCCTGGCCATGACGTGTGTAGTGACGTATGACTTTGTAGGCCGTAGGAAGATCCAGCTTCCTGTTGATAGAGTTTGAATCTGAGTACCAAGCTTCAAGTGTAAGACGTTCTGTCCTTGAGGTGCCAAAGCCTAAGAAGGTTGCTCCTTCAGAGTCAAAACTGTGGCCAGTTTCTTCGATGTGAGTCGGAAGCTGCGAGTTTGGGTCTGGTCTCCCAGTTGTCAGTTTGCGCCCATGCAGGCGGGTCGGCAAGTTCCGTCCGGTTTCCTCAACGTAGCTGCAGTCTCCATCGCTACAACCTATTTGACAAACAGTAGGTTGCATCAAACGGCGACGAATTGTTGTCTGCTGTTGATGGGCGATGCCGACTATGGCGGTTTGATAATGGAGAGCCGGCCAGTCCCTCCGAAACGTCAGCCATACAATTCCCTTGATCCGGTGAGCCATTCACATTTCCCAGATTATCGACTCGGATCTCTTACGTTTGTTAACCCGAGGCTGAATTTGCTAGTGAAAATAGGTCGCGCGGGACTGGTCCCACTCTCCCTTTCCCCTTCTTACTTGACAGAGCAATACTGAGTTAGATCGACTACTGACAATGTCGGATTCAATGACTGACTTGGCATGTGATTCATATTACTTATATTCTGCGCCCCTTCGTCCCCTTAAAGTCTTACGCAACAGACTTTCCCATCCTGGTAAATCCAGGCTACTACTACTATTGTTGTTATTACTAACACTGCCGTTGCGACCATTAGTTACACTGCCACTTGTTGTTATTATTACTAATTGCTTCACATCCCCGCCATTATTGCCACCAACCAAATTTTAGGCAATTATACCGCACGAGACCTCGACCCCGGATACGTGTGCTCGTCACCTTGAGTGAGTAGTGCCTGAGCGTATTCAGCTCCGTGGACAGCCAATCACAGGCGCACACGCCCTGGGGAACAATATACTCAAAGCACCATTCTGGCACTGACTTGGTCTCTCGTGAGGCACTCATTGTCTACCACGACATCCGTGCAAAGAGCCGAGTGTTCAGGCCTAAAGCCGGCTGCGCCTCGAGAGCTCAGGCGGTCATCAGGCTTCTGTACTCAATGGATGCCTCCAGCTGGCGTCACTACTGCTACTATTACTAAGCGTATTACTAATACTGACAGGACTACCAACAATACTACGACTACTATGACTGGCGACACCATTGCAACTGCTGGCCACATGAATTCCAGTTTAGCTTTTGATGCTAATGTTGATGCCGTTTGAATCTCTGCCAGTATAGTTGCTAATGTCTGCTTCTGCTGCCATTGCTAGTGTTGCTAATACTACTATTTACGCCACGACTGCTAACACTGCTACTGCTGCTGCTGCTGCTACTACTACTACTACTACTACTACTACTACTACTACTACTACTACTGCTACTACTACTATTACTACTACTTATACCAGTAATAATAATCCACATTTCTACTACCGCTACTGTTACCACTACTACTACTACTACTACTACTACTACTACTACTACTACTACTACTACTACTACTACTACTACTACTACTACTACTACTACTACTGCTACTACTACTACTACTACTACTACTACTACTACTACTGCCACTACTACCGCTACTATCACTGCCACTACTACAGCAACTACTACTACTACAACCACCACTTCCACTGCTACTACTACTACTACTACTTATACTAATAATAATCCGCATTTCTACTACCGCTGTTACTACTAATACCACTACTACAGCTACTACTAACAAAAATAACACATATTTCTACCACCGCTATAATTACCACTTCTGCTGCCACTAAAATTGTCGCTACTGTTGTTGTTGTTGCTGCTGCTGCTGCTGCTGCTGCTGCTGCTGCTTGTCGTCGTGCACGACGATGTTCATCGTGTCTCTGGCAGCATGGTAGGCGGGTGAGTTAGTTTGTGGTGAAAGCAGGGTCCTCTGACACGGGACACATAGGAAATGCACTGAGCAAAAGCGAGGGTCAGAGTAGGGCAGGGAACGCGTCAGTCCACGCATCTCATGACAAATGCCACGCATGGGGTGTATGTAAGGGCGCAAAGACGCATGCTCACACCGAGCTAGTCATTTGCCTTCACTCATTGCGTTAAGTGGGTGGCTGACCCGGACAGCAGGCTGATGAACGAGGAAAGGTGATTTTGACTCTGGGGATTCCGTTCTCATGCACTCAGTGCATGCTAAAAACAATATTGTGCGCTTTCAAACCAGCATGGTGCGTTTGAAGCTGGAAGACCGAAAAATTATGATATAACTCTCTAGACGAAGAGTCAGACCACGATGGCCCCTTAATATGGCTTCTCTGGCACACTCAATCAGATGAGATCCCAGCCATCTCCTTGCTCATTCAAAAGCCTGGCCAACTGTGCGCGGATCATATCGTGTGCAACACGCGCAGATAGTCTGTTTACACTGTCAGCCACTGAACTCGACCCCACCTTCTGTCCTCCTGGCTCCACCTTGCTATTGGGCTCAGGTGAGTGAGGGAGGGGCGCGCGACAGATGCTGAACAAGTCTGCTATCCTTACAAACCGATTCCCACGTAAGTCACCGGCGCTGCACACACCTGGCTGTGGAGCACACAGTGGACACCTGACAGGTAATAGCAGACTCATTTAGCATTTGCCGCACTCTATAATCCATCACCCGCATAGTTCTAGCGGCGAGACCGAATCAGAACGACCGCAGGCGGGCTCGGACGCAGTGGCCAACAGCCTGTCTACCCGCAAAATGTGCAGGGTCGAAGCAGTGGGAGTGCATTCGGAGCGCAACAGTCACCAGGTTAAATCCTGATTTGTCGGAAAAGACAGAAGTCACCTTACTGAGGGGTTTATTGTATAGAGAACCCGGGGTTGTCCTCTCGGGCAGCAGTGGCCGCTGATGAAGCCAGGGCTGATGCTGACTGTGTCCAGTCATGCTTGACAGTCCTTGTAAGAATGGTTGCAGCCGCTTTTGTAGGTTCGTGGGCCAAGCTAAAGTGATGTCCAAACAGTGTTTGTTGTATTTGCTGAGGGGTGGTGTCCCAGTGGCTCAGATTGCGGTTGCAAGGGGGGAGGTGCATCCAAGTGACAGCATGGGCAGCTGCGACTGGGTGGATGCGGGTCTGTCTGAGCTGAATTCGGTCGAGAGGTTTCGGGTCCGCGCGGCAAGGGTGAGTGACCTTGAGGCAGCGAGACCTTGGACAGTGACGTCAGATAGGCCATGATGACTGCCTTCAACGTACAATAATAATGCAACCACATTCCCTGTCACGTCCACAATGACGCACTAAACAAGGTTTCAGCGTTTAAAAGCATAAATACTCTGCAAGTCGTTAATGCTCGCCGGTCTACGCACGACGCGAACCCAAAATCAGTTAATGGTTTTTGGAGTTGATGGGGGGTGACTCCGGTCTTTTTGTGTTCTCAAGAAAAAGTCAATATATACGAAAGGGAAATGAGACCGTTGGATTCAGGAAATCGACTTAACGGGTAATGTTAAAGGAGCAAAGGTCAGATTTCCTCAGCTCCACTCACAACTAGACATACCCACGTTTATGGACATAATTATCACCAACGCGGATGATTGCTTCACAGTTCACATTATCCTCAACACCTGAGGCTGCCCAGGTTTTAGTCCTAAGCTATTGTAGTAATATCCTTAAAATGCATGTTACTGACAGCGTGATAGCAACCTGATTATTTTAGCTTGGATATCGTATGAACCGTTCTCATTATGTACTTAAAAGACATGGCTTGTTACCCGTAAATAAACTGAACTACACTGAATTATGTCTCTAGCCACTTGCTGGAGAATCCAAATTCGAGGCCCATTGCGAAGGGGTATGAAGGTTCTATAAAACTCAACGCATTACTAGACGATGAGGGGTGCTTCAAGGGAGGCTCAGCGGTAATGAAGGAGCCAAAAGGCATTAAGTGCGGCGGTCGAATATGTCGATCCAGAATTAACCGCCTACAGCACAGTCAGTTCATATATGCTGTGGCAAAACATGGTTACTGACGGCTCATTGGTAGATTGTCTTTTCAGTGGGGCTTGAGATGGAGAGAAGTACGCTGTGTTTACATAGATACTCCCAAAAGTTTTACCTAAAACGTACTCCATTTACCGTGAATAAACGAGAGTACACGAAATAGATTGCACAGGAGGGTTAAAAATACGACATATTAATCGTAAATAGCAGCTTCCGATATCATTGGCAATCGTCGGCGCAAAATCTACGCCAGACAGTTTTTCCGTCCGAACGACGTTAGTGTACTATATACACAACCCCATAATTGTGGCTCAGACAAATTGAACAAAAATCGGTAAATAGAGGCTAAAATAGGCTAAATGATGTATAATTAAGACAAATTCCACACGAATTGGGAGCAAAAACGGCGACTCAAATTCCGCGACAACTTAGACTAGTGCTGACTATGCAAAGATATCAACAATGGGCAATTAAGCATCAGAACAGCTTACATTCACACTCTTGAACGACGAAACCTTGCTTGTGTTTGTGCTTACCTGTGCGCTGTAGACTCGAAGCTGCGTTATTAGCTACTCTTCCACGAGATGATTCAAATGAGTTGTTATGTATGCACAACAGAAGGTAAGTTGTAGACAGGGCGTGCACTGGGTACTGGAGACAACACAAGTTGGTTAACTTGTAGGAACGGCTGGTTATATAGCAGGGGGAATATCATAGGCTGAAGGGTGGCCAATCGGCACCAAGCTGGTCCGAACGGGGGTACACGACCTTGATCGCGCGCATGTGCCGTGACATTTAGATATTTCGAGTAACATAATCTGCACTCCTCCACCCTAAAGTGGACAGCATGGAGAAGAGGGGAAGGAAACAGCAAACATAATAATGAAATTCGTCCTGAAAGAGTTGAGCAGGTTCGCAGATTCGGGTCGACCTTCTCTGGAGGCCTTTTCGACCTCTGCGCCGCTTTGTGGACTCAATGGTTTCTCTGTCGCTAAGTTTGTGCTGGCCGAAGTAGTAAGAGGGGGAGGGACATAGACCTCGGCCGATGGCGTTGTGCTCTGTGCGGGGAGTGAATGTTCGGTCCTCGGGATGTCAGGATCCATATGAAGGGTTGCTGGTAGTTCGAAATTCCCGAATTTTCTACTTACTGTGTCCATTCGGCTGCGCACTTAGCACAGATCTGAATTCACAATTCTCCCATTTTATAACACTACTTCTACTATCTGCCTCTCGCTTCTTTGAACTACTCCTGGAGACCAAATCATTTCGTGTTCTAATCGCGCGTAAGCACTTTCGTCATGCACGACGACTCGTGGTCGGGTGTTCACATCATATCGTGCTTTCATTTTCGTCCGTTTTTCGATTACTTTATCATGCATTAAAGGACTAAGCGGATCAAGTCAGGTGTGCAACTACCGCTTGGACATCAATCCTGAAGGCGAAACACAGGCTGAGTCGTTTGGTGTTATGTGACATATGAACAAAAGGTGTGACAACTTTGTGGCTAAGTCAGCTCCCGTCTGTTTGGCTAATCCGTGCCCTATTGTCTGAACTGTGAGCTCTGCGAGGTCATTTGAAACCGCATGGCGCGGGGCATTGATTAAATGCCGAACTTCATTTTCCTCCATGCATTCTTTAAATTCTGCACTAGAAAAGGCCTGTAGAAAGTGAAAAACAGGAGTTTCCTGTCGGAACCGCATCAGTCCATTTAGTGTGGGCGTCAACCACCATCAGAAACATATGGCCTTCGAACAGTTCAAAATAATCGACGTGTACTCTCTTCCACGGCTATTCGGGCCAGGCCCAAATATTCTGAGGCAACTTCGGTAAGGTCTTCTGTGCTATTTGACATATGTGGCATGTCTTCACCAAACCTTCTACATATGTGTGCATTTTGTGCTAGAGCTTTCATTCTAACTGTACCAGGATGAGCATTATGGAGGTGTCTGAGGATGGTCCGGCGGCCTTGTGATGGCACAACTACACGATTACCCCAGAGCATGCGTCTGTCTTGTAAACTGAACTCGTTCTGACGGCTGAAGGTCGGTTGAAAATCAGGGGACGTAGATGACAACCAGCCAGAATGCAAGGATCTTTTTACCCGACTTAAAAGAGGGTCTCTTGAGGTCCGCTGTCTAATTTCTTGACAGGTTACAGGTGCTTGACCAGTTTCTGCAAATGATTATAGGTCTCAAAAACAGGTGCGCCGTTAACGCCATCACCTACAATGGGAAGCCTACTCAAGGCGCCAGCTACTACGTTTGCTCTACCCGCGACATATTTCATTGCGTATGTGCAGGCGGAGAGAGTAGGTGCCCATCGTTGCGTCCTCGGCGCAGACATCTGTTGTATTCCTCGTTCTTCATCCAGCAAACCTAAGAGGAGTTTGTGATTGGTGTGAATCTCCAAGGGTCGGTCAAAAAGATACAGTTGGAAATGTTGTAGGCCAAACAGTTTTGCAAAGGCTTCTATATCTATCTGTGAATAGTTAGTTACCCCCGGGACAGGATGACTGATGCAAAAGCAACCGGTCTCCCTACACTAGAAGGCAGTTTGCGCAAGAAAACTCACCTGCGTCGTATGGAGACGCATCAGACTTCAGTACAATAGGCTTTGGGTGGTCATAATGAACCAGGACAGATGAGGTAAGACCATATTTACCTGTTCACAAGCACTTTGTTCGGCCTCTGACCAGTTCCAGCAACGATTCTTTTCAAGTCGTTGATGAAGAGGCTTTACAAATGTGGCCGATTGATTCCCAAAGCGACTAAAAAGGGTTACCAACCCAAGGAATGAGCTCAATTGACTAGTATTTATGGGTCGCGGCGCCGTCTTTAAGGCTTTGAGCTTATGTTCGAGTGAATGGAGTCCAGTTTTATCCACCTTGAAGTCCAGGTATTGTACCGAGTCGGCAAGGATAGTACACTTTCTTTCCTCAGTTTAAAGCCTGACTCTTCTAAACGTCCTAACACAAGGTCTAGGGTCTCTAGATGACTATGTTCAGATGGGCCGTCAAGATGGGCGCAAACGTGAGGTATGCTCTTCACGAGGCTATCAGTCAGGCAGTGAAGTAAACTGGGAGCAGAACTTACTCCATATGGTAGTCATTTGTATCGAAACAAACCCGATGAGCATTGATTGTGGGGGAATCTCAGGCTTCAGTATCCAGGACGACTTGGTTGTAAGCATGCTTCAGGTCCAACGTTGTAAACTGATGACCACCTGAGAGGGATGCGTATAGATCCTTGATGCGAGGGAGAGGATAAAGATTTGTTTTAGTTGCGGAGTTGGTCGCCAGCGTGTTTTAGCCACAGATACGCACAGAACTATCGGATTTAAGAACAGGAATTATTGGGACTGGTCATTCCGAATATTGCACGAACTCGATAACGTCCATTTTCTGTAGGCGATCTAACTCTTCTTTGATCTTGGGTGTGACTGCATAGGGACGTAGGCTAACCTTGAAGAATCGGGGCCGAAAATCTGATTGAAACTGGAACTTAACCGGCGGACCGCGGTAGTGGGTAGTGGAATCGTCACGAAATAGTTCGTTATGATTTACCAAGATGAGATAAAAGGCAGGGTCTACACCAATCCGATGTACATAGGATAGCTCAGAAGGCACACACTTAGTCCAGCCCCGTCCGTGGGGATTTGGCTGCTGGCTTCCTCTCACCACAGGAACCGGCAAGCAATGAAGTTCTCCCTAATGCTCAACCTTGGTTGTAAAGACTCCTCGAGCCTCTACGTTCTGTCTGGTGTAGCTACAGATAGTTGAGCAAGCCGGAAAAAGGGTGTAATTTCTGAAGAAAAGGCTCATCGATGAGAGTAACAGCTGAGCCAATATCGATTTCAAACTTCGCAGGATGGCGATCAACCGGAGGCGTAATAGTTTAGGACGATTGGCGCGGCGCGTTGGCCAAAAAACGCTTGGAGCATCGCCTCT